GAAAGAAGGTCAAACAATATTTCTGCCAAAGCGTTTGTGAAAATAAAAATGTGTCTTTTCAAACCCTTAGGCCTTGACTTGACCCTGTCTCAAAAGCATTGATAGTTCCAAACCTTGAAACCAAACCCTGCATTTATTAAAACTCATTTCTGTTCAATTCAGTGATACATGATTGCTGACATAATTCAAACCATCCAAGTTATGTTTGCATCATTTAAGAGCACAGACTCGACTGGTGTAAAAGTCTACAGGTTCCTTCAGCGCCTATTTGCTACCACATAAAAGATTAATGTATTAAGAGTTTCATTACTGTCACCTTTACTGTTAATATAGACACTGTTCATGTTTCAGCTGGTTACTATGTAATCACCAGACCGATGTCTCTTAATCCTGGTCCTTGTGTGTGAAAGGAGGGAAACACCTAAAACATGCAGGGCAGTGATCCCTTAGGGCCAGGACTGAGAAACACTCCACTAGACATGAATAAACACATGAGCACAGTTCTGTCGGTTCTCCTACACTTCACGTCTCTCTGACTTTGACTCCTTTATAAGACATTGGATCCAAGAAACTGTATCCTTATAGAGCTGTTTGAAAATAGATGCATGAAAATTGACAACATGTCAGAGCCTGGGATGGTTGGCGTTTACAATCTCAAAGCCAGGCTGGCAGACAATTAACAGAAACATCAACACTTGAGCACTAACAGTTACCTAGAAATGTTAGAATACAGGTGCCAGATATTCTGTCAGAAAACGTTGCTTTAAATGAGCCCTTACAAACAAGCAAAAACAAAATCAGAGTTAGGTTTGGCCTCTTTGTGTACTTGCTTGCGACATTTTGTATTTGAATGTTTTCCGCACCTGTGTCTTGCACTCATGCTGGTTTTGCATCCTGGTGCCCTGCAGAGATCACTCTTCAGAAGCATTGTTCCAGCCTTATTTTTTTTTTTTCTTACAAAACAGAGACTTGGGGAAAACATCCGCCGGCTGATAATAACTAAAGTTGCTTTTGTTTGCTCTGCTTTGACAAAATGCTGAAACCAATTTAGAAAGTACACCATTAGCCTTAGACAACTTAGTGATGTCGTGATAGATTTTTTCCTTTCTAATGTAAGTCTGTTACTGTGTTATTTTAGGATTCTAAAAACTACACATAAGTCCAAATAATAAAAAGGAGACTGCTTTCTTTCCTGCACAACAAAGCTTTGCAGAAGCCTTTGTGCACATCTGACAGTTTTCAGCTAACCTATAGAAAGTTCTTCCTTGTTTTGTTGTATTTTTTAGAAGAGCTCGTGGTCTTATATGTGTGCGCAGTACCGGTAAAATGTTTGTCATCTTATAAAAAATGAGGGGGTATTTGTAGTTAACCTCATATCTCATTGAGACCTCATTTCTCCTACTCCTAAAAAGTGAATGGATATTATCATTAGTTAATGCATACTTTCATGTAATTTGTGAAATTAAATGATTTTCTGTTTATTTTACAACGAAATCCAAACTGTGCGAACATATATGTTATCCTGGGCCTTTCTACATGGAGTTTGAAAACTCTCCCTGTTCATGCATGGGTTCTCTCCGGGTACTCCGGCTTCCTCCCACTGTCCACAGACATCATGACTTTTAGGTTAAATGGCTGCATGATGTTAGAAAACTGTGTGATTGTAATGTTTTTGGTAACTACAACAACAGTGATATCATTTGTGATAAATGCAAAAGTTTAGTGTTTTTGGAGGTTTTTTTCTGTGTCTGGTGTGAGACTCCATTCAACAGGCTGAATCTTACATTGGCATGCAAAGTGTGTGGTATTCGCTCATAAGACTTGGAATACATTAGCCGTGCAATAACATAGTCCTGTGTGATGTTAACATTACACACTCTGACAATGCAGTGATATTTTGCAGCCGCAGTATGGAGTCATTTTCCTTATATACAGACAGTAATAACACTGTGAAGTAGCTTGGAAGAGAATATTTGATCCAGCTGTTTTATCTCTGGCAACCACAAGTTCAGCCAAACTGCCCGCAGCATAATACCACACCACTTCCAGCTTCAAGGATAAGGATGTGAGGCTGAGTCAACCCCCCTGAGCAAATCTTCTTGTAGAAACAAATAAGTCAAATGTGGGAGAGGATAAAATTAAAGCGCTGTCATAACACTGGCTGCTTCCACCTTATCATACATGGACTTTTCTGCTTAGCTGATGAAGTTTTGCTCTTCCTAGTATCAGTGTTTGCATGGATGCCAGTGTTGTGTGTCTGTGTTGTCCTGTGATGGACTGGCAACCTGTCCAGCTCCACCGCTGACCCTGCAAGCTTAAAATGATTTTGACGATTGATGGATAGATGGAAAAGTGTTAACTTGAGATCTCTAGAAAAGTATTGGATGGTTTAGAGCTACACAATACATTATTTCAAATCACAAAACTCACAAAACTTTCCACGTGTACAGTGTTGTGGGAAAAATATTCATCTAAAAGTCCTGCTAACTGTCCGAAATGCACCTCGATCTGAGGGAGGAACACCTGTGCACCAAAATGATACAAAAATAGTTGGACGCCAAAATGATTTTAAGCTTCTTCCACCGCCTGCAGTTCAGCCTCAGACATCTGGTATCGATCTGTCCTTGTGAGTGGTGCATTGAGCTGGTCCAGGTTAAAGCAACACAGCAAGTGTCCACAAGATTCCAAAGTCAATATCATGTTTTAATTCACATATTGACATACTGGCGCTGCAAACCGAAGGGGTTCGCTATGATTTAATTTGTTTCTGGTTAAAGTTTTTAGAGGCTTGCCAATACATTGGAAGTCCAGAAGTGTTGGCTTTCTATACATCCATGGCACATAAGGAAAACATTTAAAATATCTTATATTGTATTCTTCCTGTACATAAAATATCAAATACAACGACTTCAAGTAGAAGGAACTGTTCATTGTTGAAAAATGCAATAATCCTGGACTGACAGGTCACTTTGATTTTAAATAAGGTGAGCGATTTTAACAAGAATTTATTGTAAATGACACAACAAAATACAACAATCGACACTTCTGAGGTGTGGGAAAATATTTCAATTTGCAGTTAAGCTGAAATAAAAATAGAAGGCTCGATATAGCTGCTCTGTAGTGGCCCTGTGATCCATCAGTCCCCTACAAAGCTGAACCACTGAGACAGAGCGGCCTCCTCATTTATCTGAACCCCTGGCGAGAATTTGTAGATTCCAGTGCAGTTGCATGATGTCATTCTGTAAAACTATTATATTAAAAAAGAAAGCTATTTTTTTCTATCAGAAGTACATTTATTTCCCATGTTAATGAGGTCATGCAGAGTGTGATAAAGGAATTGTATTATAATTAATATTAATAATGATACAACACTGATAGCATTCAAATTCTGTCAAGTAAAAACATTTGCAAATTCAACAGGTCCTGGTAATGTTTTTCTTAAGTTTTTGAAATAATGAGGGACCTTGGATAAAAAAGGTGAACTATGCCAGAAAACAAAAACATAAGTAATCAGGCCCTTTAGCAAAATATTCAAAATCTTGGTTATTATACACATAATCAACCTGCCTTTACAGCCATCTTAGTCAAAAGGCGTAAACCCTAAAGAGCATTTGTGTGGCGAGTTGAAGAGCAGAAGAGAAGATGAAAGATTGAACCTTGCAAACCTTGTCTAAGATTTATTAAGATGAGATGAGATCATTTATTAGTCTCCCATAGGAGAAATTTGCCTTGGAAGCAGGAACAAGACTGCCACAATAAGAACAATACAATACAACAATAGACAATGGCCATAAATACATAAAAGTAAAAATACATAAAAGCCCAAATGTTAGGTCGGCAGTACATCCCTATAACCATCTCATTTCCATCTCATTAAATCTTGTGAAATGTTAAAGGAGAGGACTCTTGTGGTGTTCTTGTTCTTTCTGATAGAAACAATTTTGATGTCGCAACCGCAGTAATGCTTTCCAGTTTGCAAAGAAATTATAATGCAGCATTTTCGGGGAAAATGTTGAACTCTTGTGGGACAAGAATCACATTCAGACACATCAAAGTACTGTAAACATCATTAATTTCTCTAACATGCATAATTATCGCCTTACAGTGCTTCTTGTACCTTCAGGGTCACCTCTTCAATACTGAAGACGCCATAACTAACGCTACGCACGCCCAATAAGCATCAATGAAACTTCCGCTGGCGGCTTTTAGTTCATAACATCGGGGCCAACGTAGCGTTCATCTGTCACACTGAGGGCAAGGAGCCTCGGTGCATTAGCATCATCCCACGCTCCTTGCGCAGAGCCATCCATATTGTATGAGCATGTAACCTACATCCATCCACGCCTCTGTCAGCCGATGTCCCCTGACGAGACAAAATCCATAAGCGGACCGTAATGGTGTTCGCGAATGTGTGGCTCGGTGTTTAGTCAGTTTATTCCCCTGTCAGAAGAAATCAAGGTCCTGCTGGTTTAGCTTGAAACATTTCATGCTGCTTTTCAAACGGTTGCCAAACGCTAGGGGCGGATATTTAAATGGCTGCTCCGAATGTGTTCAGGCTCTATTAGTAAAACTGTGGCTATGTGGGTGAACTAAAACATTAAACGCTTGGGATATTTTATCTGAATTATATAAGCAATGCCTGGTGTCAGTGGACACTGTTATTTGTCAGTGCTATACAATACAGGGAAACCATTGTTTAACGGAGCACCATCAAATTGTGCATTAAAAGTGAAATAAATAACAGGTCTCCCACTGATTGCAGCGAACGGAAGGTGTTGATGTTGTTAATTCATAAAGGAACAGAAAAGCGGCCACATTGTGGGGGGAATTTTTTTTTTTTTAATCACGGCACATCTGAGGGAGAAAAACTCATGAATAATTTTGCTGCGTAACATATTTATCAGGCAGAATATTCATAGAAGCTTATCAGCCCTCAACCATGCTCTTTTAGCTTCTTCTTACTAAAAGTGTTTGACTCCACTTTGCTTGTTGCGTCCCAGATTCTGATCGGGGAAGTGACGAGCTTCTTTGTGAAGACGGAGGGATCTCAGGAGAAGACCATAGTGACCGCTGACTGCTGTTACTTCAACCCTCTCCTCCGAAGGATCGTACGCTTTCTAGGTCAGTCTCGGTCCCGCTGCTTATGCATTGCCTTCAGTGTGTTTTATTGGGATTTCCTGTAACAGTAACACATTCAGTTAAGCCCCTAATTATCTGTTTCCTCGGTAGATTTAGCTTGACGTGGTCCAGCAGAATTTTACATCATAGAAGATGAAGCAAAAAAGCTGATCAGCAATTATAAGAAGGGTTTGATGTCAATACGGTTTTTACTAATCACTAGTCAATATTATTTAAATAAATATTTTGAAAACCATCCATTGTTTTCATTCATCTTTATAATTATGCACTACTTTGTATTAGTTTATTGCATAGATTCCAATAAAATATATGGACAGTTGCAGAAGTTATGTGACAAAATATGGAAAACGTTAAGCGGTATGAATATGTCTGTGTTGCATTGTATGTAGCACAAAGCAGCAATTTTTTATTTTATTTTTTTTACTCTCCAAAGGCTTGTTTCTGATCCTTAGTCTTGCCACGTATCCTCTTATCTTTATTCATTTCCTCTCTTGTTTTCCCAGGTGTCTACTCCTTTGGTCTCTTTGCCACCACCATCTTTGCCAATGCCGGTCAAGTGGTGACAGGAAACCAGACGCCTCACTTCCTGTCCGCCTGCAGACCAAACTATACAGCTCTGGGCTGCCAGTCTCCTCTGCAGTACATCACAGAGAACCGAGCCTGCACAGGAAACCCTTTCCTGGTGGTCTCCGCTCGCAAATCCTTCCCGTCCAAAGATGCAGCGCTCAGCTTTTATTCAGCCATCTACACAGTGGTAAGAAATCAGATGTCAGGGAATTGGTGACGGGGGTTGGGGGGGAACTCATAGGCTGGACCGATTTTGAAAATGAAGAATCTTCCTTGAATGTAACACCATAAAGAGGTTTCTTTTTTTTATTATTATTCAGCCTTCGCTGTTGAGCAAGTTCATTCTTAACAAGAACTTGTTTTAGATTCAGCTCACAGGTTAAAACTGAATTTATTCATGTTCACAGTTTACCACCTACAAGGACTGAATTCACATTCAAAATATGAACTAGTTCTTGTTCAATCTAAATATTTCATACGATGCAAAGTTTGAAGGAACATGCAGGTGATGATTAGTGTGGTTGAAGATTCAATTTCATTGCTCTGCTCTCCTCTGCTGTGCTTCCAAACACACCTTGAGACTCCCTGACTCAAGGTCAGGGAGTCTCAATTGCTATTGTGTAGGATCCACACAATAGCAATCAAACATGGGAACTGAAATAAAATATGCAAAATCTGTAGGTTTTTACAGTTGGCACATAAAATTGCACTTTATTCTGTGAAGTTCCTCTGGAGAGTTTTCCTATATGAAAGGATTTGGATTTTATATCGAGACTTTGGCTAGGCCATTCCAAAATATATCTTTTTTTTCTTTTTATATATAAGACTTGTACTTTTAGAAGCTTTTTCCCTTAATAAATGAAATTATCATTTGCCATGAGAGATTTGCTAGTTGATCTCAGGTATTAAAATGGGATAGAAATAAGGAAAAACAAAAGCAAACTGAAGGGGGCAAATGCCTTTTTTAGCACTCTAGCTAAATTTTCTCCCAACAGTGTGCTTTGAATCTTTTTGTTTACGCCTGAATAAAGAGCTCCTCAATGACAGCAGGGAGAAATGTGTTCAGCTTATGTTTGTAATGTAGAAAAATACAGTCATTCTAAAGTTCTCCAAAACTTCCTTTCAGTAAGTTGCAGCTGCATCACAGATGGATGATTTCTGAGTGGTAGTTCAGATGCGACTGTCAGGCGGTTGTTTGTCTGTAAAGTAGATAATAGCCTGATGCGGAAATGTCTAAAAGTGAATAAAAAGATAGTTAGTCAATAAATTAATTTTAGAAGACAATTTATTAAAATATATATATTTTTATTGTACTGCATATATTACATGCTAAAGTTCTGAGTGGTCCTATTGAATATAGAAAGATTTCCATCAAAGTTCTGCATGCGTTGTGTCATCCTTGGCAGTTAGAAGATGCTCTTCATTTTCCTGCGTAGTTTTACACATTTCCATGAGAATCCTTAGACATATTTTCTTGCCAGTGGGTTTTCAGTTTGCTTTCAGAGGCTGCCAACAGCTCCATAATTACAGAGCTGCACCTCGGCTTCCTCAAAGTCTCTGCCAATCAGAAGAGCTCTGGCTTTTAGGAATGTGATCCTTGCAGAAAAAGCTGGCATAAAATGACAGATTAGCAAAAAAGAAAAAGGAGTTAATAAACAGAGGATCAGGAAAACCTTTTCTTTGCAAGTGTGAGTAATGCAGAGCTTCTCGAGTAAAGTCCCAGGTTAAGTTGGCTTTAAGTCTCATTATGCATAATTTTTCTGTTATCGTGTTGAATTTAATTCTGCTGAGGAAGAATACCAGAAAACACTGTTTTTGTCCTGATAAACTATATTTTTGAAGACGTTACGTTTATCATCTGTTAGGTAAGCATTACTATAGTTTACTGAGTATACAGAATAAAAGGCTCGGTAATGATAATCAGAACATCTCAGTAATGTTTATAACAATTTATATAAATTTCCAGAAATTCTTACATTTGAATATTAAAGGTAGAGCACAACAAAAGGAAACTCTAATCCAGACCTATCAGGTGGATTGAAACAGGCACAGTTGATACATTTTTAGGATAACCTCTGCTGTACAACTACTATGTCATTTATTATTTAACTGAAACTAAGTGTGTGAGAGCCCAGGTCTATTCCTTACTGTTCCCATAAAATTTTACAATGTTAGTCGCAGCCAGATGCACTCCCTGACCTCATCATCAAGTCTGAATACCTCTATAAAAGCAGCGGTTATTACAACTGGCTGATTTAAGACTTGAAGCAGTGCTTAAAACGAAACAGCAAGAAGTGAAAATGTCAGTAATTTTTGGATAAGCAACTGTTATTCCACTTTAACATGCCCTGGCCTTTTTCTTAAGGGAGCTCTACCATTCCCATGGCATGTTCTGGGCTTAATGCAGGTTTTTCAATAGGTATACATTTTTCAGTGTATTCCTTCATGAGAACCAGATCTGTTTAAAAAAAAAAAAAATCATCCAAAACTTCTGCCCCAGATGCCCAGGTTTTATTTCCCTTTGAGATTAATAAAGAACTGGATTAAATCAAATACAGTGTATATGTATTATCAGTAGTGATCGTAGCCTTATCTTAATGTAACAAACCGAACAGAGCTCATCATCAAAGATAAATCAAAAAAACTAGTGGTAGTACGCAAAATGCTGCTCAGCAAATTATTATTGAGGAGGGCAGAGATATTGTAGAGCTTTTTCAAATAAGATATACATTCTAAAACATGTGTTTTCCCCTTCTACATTGTTTTATTATCTTTTGAGAGAGGCTTGTCTTCTTTCCTATTTGGCAGATGAAAATGATTTTATATCAGTTTGTGTGAAACCACTCAGTGGCTGCAAAATGACTGCAGATTGCGTCCTCTTGTGGCCTGATCAAGATGCACATCCTGCCGAGTCAGTAAGACTGCGGCACCGTCTCATCGTCTCAGCCGGATGACTCAAGCACCTAAATCTAAATATAAAAATGTTTTTTTGTTTTTTTTTCTATTCTTACATATTCTTGTGACTATGTTTGTTATACAGATGTACGTGACGTTGATGTTTCGGACCAAAGGAACCCGTCTGATGAAGCCCACCCTGTGCCTGGTGCTGCTGTCTCTGGCGGTGCTGGTCGGCGTGGTGAGAGTGACGGAGCACAGGAACCACTGGAACGACGTCCTGGCCGGTTTTGTCACAGGAGGGGCCATCGCTGCATTCCTGGTGAGGGGGAGCAAAAAGAGAGACGGTTGCAAAAAAAAGAAAAAGTGTAACATTTCTCCTTAAATTTGACAAGCAAGCCTGTGGATCTGGTTTTTAACACCTTCACAAATATTAAGTTCTTACTTCAAATGTTGTTGTTGAGAAATTTTGACAGATCTCTTAGGATCCCGCAACAGTTTTCATTTAGGTTCAGGTCTGGGTTTGACTAGGCCATTGCAGCCTTCTTTATCAGACATTCTGTTGTATATTTTTTGATTCAGCCTACATCAAGCCATTCACTATGTCAGTGTTGGGAATGAATAGGAGATTGTTAAAGAGAAAGAGACAAATTTAAAGGTATCACATTGCAAAATCAAATTTCTTGGAAATGATGTTTGATATATAAAGCATTTTTATATCAACTGAAAGCTACTATAGTTAATTGATTGTGCTTTAAAACTGCATTATGTGCAGTTTTAAAGCACAATTATTATTATTATTATTATTATTATTATTATTATTATTATTATTATTATTACTACCATATCATTGGATAATATTCTGATGCACTTCATATGCGCTACAGGTGGCCATACTCACCGTGGGGTTTTTACCACCAGTGTTGCACCATAAGTCACCCCATGGACAATTTAGTAGGCGTGTTTTTGTCATTGCAGATTTAATTAACACAGTTAAGCATAAATACAGCCACCTGTTGAATGGTTTTCTCCTGTTTTAAGTGTATCTACTTTAATACAGACCTAATTGAAACTCTACAGTTTGTAGAGAGCAACTTGCTCCTTTGTTTCTTGGTTTAAAAAAAAAAAGCATAACTTTACATAGGAATCTAATAATCTTGTATAAACAAAAAATATGCTGCACACTAGTTTCAGTCATTTATGTGGCTTAATTTGCACCATTGTTTGTCCAAACTTCTTTTTCAGTCAGGAATAAGAATTTAAAATATAGAAAAATCAACCGATTTAAGGTGATTATCTTGGAGATGCACCAGTCAGATGTTTGTAATCAGTTTCTAATCAGGTGATATTTATCCTGCCAGTTTCAAGTCATTCAAATTTCTCTTTAAGAACTATAAAATAGTTGTTGTTTTTTTCCATGAACTATCATGAATTATTTATATTAGTAGCAGAGGCAACATTAAGTTGTGTTTGAAAGAGAGCAAGCATACAAAACAGAGTGTGACTGACATTTTAAAATAAGAAAAACAAATGATTATAGAGTGTAGCATCTCATATTGGGGATTAATGCAGTTAGTGGAGCTGACATTACTGAAGCGGCAGTCTTTGTCTGACTTCCCTAGAGAATGTAGATCCTTATCCTAACTCCAGGATTTCTTGAAGGCTGTTGACCTTTAAAAATCCAGCATGTTTTGTGGCAGTCAGAGGTTGAAAGCTTACAAGGATAAAACAGAACAACTTTTCTGTAATACATGCATCCTTCCTTCTCTGTTTCTCCCTCACAACCAAAAGGAACTGCAGACATGGACTGACGTGTTACTGAGAATACAGTTTCCTTTGGAATAGCTTCTTTCACCTTTTGTGTTTCATCATATTTCAGTCTGAAAAAGCATGTAGATATTCAAATTCAGTTATAGTGAAAATTGTCCAATTCCAGTGGATCTCCTTGTGCATCTTAATGTCTTCCCTTGCAACTTGAAAGTACTTAGTTGCCTTTTTAAATATCTGTTTTACCAAATAAAGTTAAAGTTTGATTCAAAAACATTCTTAAATGATTGTTATGGTGTCAGGGAGCGTTGATATCTGAGATCTGCCTCTTGTTTTTTTTAAAAAATCGATAGACTTCCTGTTTTGCTTTGATGAGTGACCCACAAATTCTGACTCTAAAAAGCTTAAGACACATAGTAGTCTTTAATCCAACATAAAATTACAATATTATGCTTTTTAAGATGTGTAACTTACCTTTATTTAATCATTTACTTTAAAGAAAAGTACATGATGCTGGTTGACACATTAATAGTTTTGCTCATTTTCAGGTTCTCGGTTATTGAGCTGTGGATCTCAGTTTAACATGTTTCAGAACAGAGGTAGTGTGAAGTTGTTCTGATTGATCCCAGCAGAAGGGAGAGATGGGGACATACTTGGAGCTAAACTTTGTCCATTAGAAAGCTGCTGTTGAAAAAGAGAGAATATATATATATTTTTTTTAACTTTCTACTCATTTCTTGTCTCCTCTCCATCAGGTGTCCTGCGTGATCAACAATTTCAAACCAACTAAGCTAGCAGTGCCGACTCCGCCTCCCCCGCCACAGCGCCCTGAAGCCCCCATCAGCCTGCCTCTGATCAGCCTGCCCCGCGTGGAGAGTCCACTCGAAAAGTTAAGTGGCTTCCAGGTAAGGGGTGAGGTGTATTAAGAGTATTAAACCGGAATGACTTGAATTCTTGGTTGCCTCTTTGAATCTGATTCCTGAATGGTTTGGATTTTTTTAGCCTCATGTTGACGCTGTAAATTCCAAAATGTTTTAAAAGTTTTCCTAATTTTTTATTTTTATTTTTTCATCTTTCTCCTTCTTAGGCTCCAGGGCTACCATATTCTGAGATCACATGACCATCAGCCAACCCTGCCCCCCGCCCCACCCGATGTGCTCCTCCCCTCAAGACGTTGCCTCACCAGCTCAGTCTAGACCTGCCCCGTGAAATCCCCCTGCCCTGCCCCGCCCACCCTGAAGGACGAAAACCTCTGAGGCGAGTCAAATCCACGCAGGTGTGAGGCTTCACTAATCACAGAGGACAAAGCCTGGAGCCAACGGGGAAACAAAGACCTGTCGTCCTCTCCCTGCGATGCTCTGTTTTGTCCTTCAAGATGGCCGCCCTTTTCTCTTGGGTGTAAAAGATCCATGAAAAGACTCTTTAAGCCCAGAGCTGTTAAAGCAATACTGTGTCCTGTTTCCTTGCGGTTTTCCACAAAGATTCAACGGTGACTCTAAAGACTGTTGGCTGGTGATGACTTGATATTTCCAATCAAATAGAAACAAAAAACAAACAAAAAAAAACTCAGCTGAGCTGAGGGTCACAAGTGGATTTTCCTCAAGATCATTTTTGTTATACTCAGGACAATTAGGGGAAACAGCTGAAAGAAGACCTTTATGTAATAATGCCGGTACCGTTGAGTGACATGGTACAGATTTTTGGTTCTGTACACAAGGAGAGATGTTGTCGTCGAGCGAAGCACTTTTGTAAATTATAGCACAGATGAACCAGTTTAAAACTCAGTAAACAATGTTGTAACTTTCAGTTTTGATTTTAATTGTGCAACATGATAGAAGAGCGGTTTATACACACTAGGGCTTTGCTTTTGATACCGGTTTTTCTTTTGTTTGTTCGCTCCTGAATCGGATTGTCATCAACTTTTCAAAACTATAACATTAATGTTGCAGTGTGTTTCAGATGTATGTTAGTTTGATGTCCATGTTGTGCAAAATCTCCATGTGGAGTTTTTATTGTTCACTTGAAGTAAAAAGCATTACTCTTTTAGTACTTCCCATAATCTATTAACCAAATTTATGTCTCATGTTTTCTCTATTGATGCACATCTAAATACGTGGCAACAATATGGTACTTCTTACATCTAAAATCAGTTACATTTTTACAAATACATCAAACTGGATTTTAAAGAGAAAAGCTGGCTGCTGTTTGAATTAGGCATGGAGCAGAATAATATTTTCACATTATGATGACCCTGAGTAAAAGCCCCACGGTGTCACAGTATCAAGGTATTTAAATGAGTTTAAGAAACGTGCAATATGATCTAATTGCTTCTATTTAAACTATAGGGTTTCTGCAGGGTTTTTAAAATGTTAATTTAACCCATATTTTTAAAAAAAATACACTGACTTGAAATTAATATGATATGGTATTAACAAAGACCATAAATTTTACTATTTGTACTGTCAGTACGTGCTTGGGCTTTTGGTTACATAAAACAAAACATGATACAACATTTAAAATACAAAATAAGTAGAGAAAAACAGAAGTTATTCAAGCCTGTCAGATGTAAGTCAGAAATAATCTTACTGACTTACACCTTCAAGAATCTGAATTAATGAGCTACAACAACATTTCATTTCCTTTTGGGATTAATAAAGTATTTTTGAATTTGAAGGAAAGAAATCTGATAATTAAGCCTACATCAAGATTTTCCACTCGAGGCCTCACATTCCACTATTCACGTCTTAAATCTCTACATTTGTTCCTTCATTGCTTCATCTGTGAAATGCTTTTTTTGTTATTTTGTTTGTTTTACTAATGTATTGGCAGCACTGATTCGTTCTGTTTGGTGGCTGAGGAATTTAGCGAAATGGAGGACAGCCAACAGCTCTGTAGGAATGAATTATCACCAAACCCTCCAACTAAATCAAATTTTGCTCTGTAATTTTCTACATTTTAATTTGCTTAGGCAACTAAAATTAAATAGTTCTAGCTGCCTTACCTACTGCCAGCTCCTCTGTCATGAATAGGTGTTTGCTTAACAAGGTCTGGCTTAAAAACTGTTTTTGATCGTTGGCCAAAGCCTGCCAGCTACCGTTGACAAAAAGCTTTCTGTGTACTGAGTAAGAAGGAATGATGAAGCGAAGTAACATACATGCCAAAGTAAAACAAGAATGGAAAAACTCTCAAATTTAAGTTATTTTTCACTTGCATTGTAAGGTGAGCAGAATTCCTGTCATTATAAATAAGTGATTCAGATGGACCGACCTTGCATAATAATAATAATCCTTAGTAATCTTAAAAATGTTTTAAATAATGTTAAATTTGAGTGTCTGAAAATTGTTCGTAAATAGAAAACTAACGATTATACCTGCTGCTGCTAAAATGAAAACACTGATACTATTTTGGCTAAGATATTTATTGCCGTTCTTGTGTCATTCAGAGGTTTAATCCCTTACTACCTGAATTTACTTATAATTATGTAAAAAGCAAATGATGTTTGTTTTATTTTTGATACAGGTGCTAAATAAAGAACAGTTTTTTAATTGAATAAAGCACATAGAGTAGATTCAAATGTAGCTATTTTATATCTAAATTAGCAAAATTAAGCTAAACTGATTATAACTCTAGTCACTAGATGGCAGATGTGTCAGAGTAGAAGTAGTAGAAGAAGAAACAAAACAGCAAAGCTTCTTTTGAAGAAATACAGGGTGAATAAATCAGCAGTTTTCCCACTAAGGACAATTTGTCTCTCAAACACTATATTGATATTCTGGCAAAACTCCATAACTGTCTGTATTTCATTCTACCGAAAATATTTCCAGCTAAATTTCTCTTTTATTCCTTGGAGAGTGAGTGCAGCATGTTGTTAGGCGCAGTGCATCACTTCTGTGCCTCAGAATAATAAATTTCTAGTCACTCAAGCACTTTATTTGGCATCTCATAAAAAGAAACAATCTTCAAGCCATGAAAGAGCCATGACAGAAACATTTGACAATTTGAACATTTTTTTTAACCCTTGCAATACCTTGATACCTGTGAGCAGCCCATGCCTAATTTGACTGAATCTATCTGGTCCAGTCATTCAAAGGCTTCTTTTCCACACACCGACTGAGTTTATTGGCGGCATTGAGACCTCTGACTTTGGTAGAGTATTGTACAGTGCTTAGGTTTCTTCAAAACATATATGATGTTATCATCCTGTTTGTATGGTTTTGATAATGTGAAGCTACCTGAAACGTTCTTGCGGCATGGCGGACGGCTGTAAAGCAGGAATGTAGCTCAGTGGAGAAGAGTTTAAAATCAAGCCAGCCTGCAGTCGATGCGTAGTATGGCTCACAGCTGGCTCAGCTCTGCTCAGTTTAAAAGGAAACTGCAGGTTCTTAAAGGAAGAAGAAAGTGTGTTATATACAAAATACGTCCTAATGGGTTTCTTATGTGTGTGTGTGCACTTGCTGTGCGTGTGTGTGTGTGTTTGGACTTATTTAGATCTGCGTGTGTGTCTGTGTGTGTGTGCGTATTTATAATGAGCACATTGTAAGGCAGCACAACTGTTAATTTGGCAGCCTGTTTTTCTTAAGTTAAACTGTCAAAAGTAGCTGCTATAATTACACACTCACATTCGTTTGTAACTGCAGGCCTCTGAAGGACCCCTGCCAAGGCGTCCTATCAATGCCGGTTAAAGCAGAAGGTGCTCATTATAGCTTTGAGATTACCTACAGTATTGTAAGTCTGTTTTTATTTTCTTCTTCTTTTTTTTAAGAAAAAAAAAAGTGACTACACCCCACCTCTGGCGAGATAACGTTATTTTCATGTTAAAGTCTCTGTTTTGTATTTATTTACCAAAATAAACTGCAATTACCACTTAGTGAAGTAAGATTCTTTTATACAGACGCAGATTTGACGTTTTACCACGTTTTACGGCTCCAACAAGAGCCTTAAAACATTAAATGTAAATTCACAGTGCCTTGCCAGACTATTTGCATTCTCTGATATCTTGGCTGCCTTTTATTGTGGTAAACCAACCCAAAGCGATATGCAATTGTGAATTCAAAGACAAATTATGCATGGTTTTAATTTTTTATTTTACAAATAAAAATCTGAAAAGTGCAGCATCCATTTGCACATGGCCCTACAGAGTCAATACTTTGTAGAGCCACAGTATTCCTTCTGTAGAGGTGCAAATCATTTAGGGATATCTCTGCCAGATTTGCACATCTATAGGCTGACATTTTTGCTCCCCATATTATTTCTGGATACTGGATTGAACTGTTATTTTTTTTTTTAGATGTTCAAAGCATGAGATGTTGTTTTAAAACCTAACTATGTTTTGAACTTCTCAGCAATAGGCTGTTGTGTTCCTCAGTCTTCTCTTCGCGATGCTTCTTGTTCACTTATGTTCTCTAACAAACCTCTAAAGGCCGTCACAGCACACCTTTGTTTAACATGACATAAAATCGCAAACAGATGGACTCGGTCGACAAAGGCAGTTTGATTGCATCAGAGTTCACAAATGGACACCATACTTTTCAGATTCATAATTATGCACTACTTGCTGCCAATCTAAAATCCTACTAAAAGCTCTGTAATGTATTAAAATGTGCTATGGATATTTTTGCAAGGCGCTGTAAATGCATTTCTACTATTTATGCAGCTGTTGCTATTATAGATCACTTACCTTTTACAGACTCCTAGTCTGTATGCATTGCTTTTTTCTGTTTTCACACTACTGCTGATGAAAGCATCGAGGTTACTGTGGCTTTCATTGCCTGGCCCAAGGAGAATATATAAACCAGAGAAGTGAGAGATCAAACCACGGAGCTTCCATTTGGCAGAGAAAACCCTCCTCATCTTGTGCCACAGCCACTCAAATCTCCATTTCCATGTGACATCAACAATAAATCTGTGTTATTTAGGAGTCTCGGTAAGAACTAAAGTGGAAATACTTTTTGTTGTTGTTGTTGCATTGCATGTCACATGAAAATGTCGATGCTGCACTGCCCTAATTTCACACAGTTTAGCATAAACACCACAATAAATATCATTTTTTATTTGACTTCTTACTATTCCTCACGATTGTGCACACAAAGAATGTCCCACAGGACATTAGTCTTTCAACATCAGTCAAATAAAAGGGAGATTAGATTGCAATCCCTTTTAACTTCTCTAAACAAATACAATTTCACGCTGTTCTTGCCTCTGATTGTCTGAGCTTTGATTCGGGCTGCCATAAAAGAAAGATTTCCCCTCTCGTTGCTGTGATCTTGATCAAATGTTTCCTTACTCCATGTTCTGAAAATAACACATGCGGGTTGGCAGCTTGCAGAAATGATAGAATACCAATACGGTTCAGGTCAGAAGTTTACATACAGTCGTTATTGGCATGAAGGTCAGATTGTATAATGATTTATTTAAACTGTTCTTATCCCAGTGTAGATGACAAACAACTTTGATGGTTTTGTGGATTTTCCCTGATCAAGACATACATGCTCCACTGTATGCACACACCTCATCTAATTGGCATTATTAAT